ATGTTCTTTTTCACATAGGTGATTTTTCTGATGTTAATACAAAAATTCCTCCGATTTGTGGCACGGAGTAACAACATAAAGGTGTTTTTTTGTTTTGTTAATTTTTCTAAAGTAAGTATGTCTATATTACTTTTATAATGAATTTTTATTTATAGAACATGAAAAAGATAATGGAAGTCTGCTAGATTATCCAGTTTTTGGTTAGCTTTTTATATATTGTTATATTCTTAAATGCAGACATTTGAAAAATTTAACTGTTTTTATTTTTATTTTGTAGAATTTAAAAGTGTGCAGACCAAATAAAATGCCTTCAAATAATATCAAACCGAGTGTAAAGGCCAAAGACTTATCAGTGGACTTTACGTCTGTACTACATATTGTGCACTTTACGTCTGTACCACATATTGCCAGTGAAAAAGTGCACAGCATTACTCAAGGTGGGTGTATATATATATTTTGATTACTTTAACACTTGCAATTATGAATTACTTATAAGCAAGCTTGGTTTGATTTAAATTGGTTGATTGATATTGATTCAAATCATGATTTCTAAATACATATGGGGAGTAGGAACTTAGATAATATTAATAAACAGGGTGGTGTGTTAATAAACAGGATTTGAAGGGTTGGAAAATAGTTGTTAAAGAAAGGGAATCCTCCTGAACACTTACAAGTGAGGCCTAATATTTTTATATTAGTTTTTGGTGTTAAAAAATAAAAATTAAAAAATTGGATCCAAATAAAGTCTGGTTTGGTTGTAAAAAAAAATCAAAACTAATAAACAGGGGGACGACATTTATTTTTTACAACTAAAAATAAATAGTCTGAGCACCTCAGACTCTTTATAGTTTTATTGTAAAAGGTTTTGAATAAAGTTTTATTTATTTAAGATCTTTTAAAGACTAAAACTTCAAGAAGGAATTATTAAAAAGATGACAGTACAGACGAAAAGACGATAAAACCTCTTTTTTTTTAAAAAACGAAAATGATACAGAAGAAATAGCAACAACTTCTGGCAACTACTCTCAAATTGCTACAAAAACAATCAAAACCAGTGCAAAAGTTGTTCGTCCAAAATCAGCAGCAAATGAGTGGTATCTACTCGGAAATGCAGAATTTCAACTTAAACTTTTTATGCATTTAAATGACCATAAAGAACGTTTAAAAAACATTGAAAAAAGTCAAAAAAGGATTTTAGCGTTCATATCCAATAGGGACAATAGGAACAATGAAGATGGAATTGATGAGATTATCAAAGTAGAAACAATTGACCAGCTTGAAGAAATTAATTCAAAATTAGTTATTGACGCCCAATATAAGAGTAAAATCAAGAAGGCATTAGGAGTCGTTGGCTTAACATGTAGCAATGCACGTCAACATATAAATCGTGCAATAAACATTATAATGTTAGTTAACATTCAAACAAAAGTTAACGTTTTGTATGGAAACCATATTCCAAATAAAGAATACTGCGATCGTGTGTCTTTGCGCAGAGAACTACCAAACATCTTTCAAATTCTTGTTGATGTCAGCAAATCATGGAGTGTTAAGGCGAGTTTCCACTCATCCTTTTTTCTACGGGAACGGGATAAAAAAGGAAAAAATAATTACGTGAGCATGCGTAATAAAAGATTTTATTTGTCCGAAAGAAAACTGCGCATGCTCACGTTATTATTTTTACGTTCCTTTTCCCTTTCCCGTAGAAAAACGGATGAGTGGAAACTCACCTTTAAAGAATTGCAGAAATTTATGTCCGGGTGGTTGAAGAATGCGCCTAAAAGAGCTTTAAAAGAAAGTTTCGCATGATGTAGATAACTTGAGTTGCTGTATCTTAGCATCAAAAACTAATCCTTTTATTATAATTTTATAATTTATAATTTTATAGTTGTAAGTTTATTTGATCCTATTACTTCGGAGATGCAGATTTCACTAATTTATTATTATTTTTAATTTTTATAACTAAGAAAGTTATTTTTGTTATAGTTCAAATAAAAATTCAAATATAGTGCAGATTTAATTTTAAAAAAGTTGTTTTTTTACCACGTTTTTATTAGCTCGCTTTCTTGTTTGTTTGTCCGGGTGGAATTTTGCAACTCAATTTTAGATTAGCTAGAGCTCTGAAACTTTTACTATAGCTCAGAACCCAATGACAATGCAATATTATACTACTTTTACCATGATTTGCCGAGTTTCTTGAACAATTTCAGCAAAATAAAATTTATTATGGCAAAACTTTTGGAGGCGTCGCCGCAATTTGACGCGTCGCTTTAAATAAAAAATTTTCAAACAAAAAAACCAAATTTAACTGTCGCTGTGATTTTAAATGGACCGCAGCATAAAAACAAAATCAGTTGTTTACAAAATATAAAATTCCACCCATCAAAAACTAAAAAGAAGAAAATAATATAACAAATAAAAAAACTTTTTATAAAACCACGTTTTTTTAATGAACTAAAAAGTAGAAAATAATTTTCTCTTATGGCTATAGAAATTTTTGAAAATTAATTGAGTCGATAGTAAGTGACATGAAAACTTTTGATTATGAACTCTTAATAATTACGATAATATTTGTAAAATTTTAATCGGAAAACGTGGTGCGCATTTAACGAAAAAAAAAGAACAGAAGAAGGAAGCAATAGTTAAAGTAATTAGGACGATGATGATCATTTAAAGTGACAAGATGCGCACCACGTTTTTCGATTCAAATTTTACAAATATCGTAATTATTAAGAGTACATAATCAAAAGTCACTGACTATCGACTCAATTAATTTTCAAAAATTTCTATAGCCATAAGAGAAAATTATTTTCTACTTTTTAGTTCATTAAAAAAACGTGGTTTTATAAAAAGTTTTTTTATTTGTTATATGATTAAATAGTCTGCAGGAATTTATAAATTCCGCCTTATAAATTTTCTCATTTTAAACTTTGTGATAACTGATAAAACATAATAATTAAAGTTGAAGAAAAGCTTTTAGTGTTGATTATAATCAACGCTAAAACACTTACTTCTTTTTTTTAATTTTAATTATTATGTTTTATCAGTTATCACTAAGTTTAAAATGCGAAAATAAAGCTCTGTAGGCGTCGTATTGTATTCTCTTCTTTATATGCATTTGATGCAAGTTCTAACAAGTTTCTTTAATCCGTTGTTTGACAGGCCCGTATTTAATTGCACATTTAGTTATTTCTTAATAGTCAAGAATTTATTTCAATATATATGTTAAAACTATTTAAGTATAAATATTTACCAGGGGAAACTGTAAGTGGAGGCTCGCCGGATGCTTTAGCCAGTAGAATAGTTTCTTCCGGAGATAATTCTTTATTGGAAATAACTCAAGATGCGATTTGTTAGGATGATTTGGCATCTTTTGTTGCTAAAGTTTTCCCTTAACATTATTTGAGAGCATTAGTGGGGCAAACCTTTTCCTAAAGAACTGGGGCATTTGCTGTAACGCACCTTTGGTTTTATTATTAATAATAGAAATTATTCTTGAATAGTTCTTTCTTACCAGGAAACAATTGTTTAAACTATTTACTTGTAAGGAAATTACATTATTGATAATTGTCACACTTATTAAACTAATGATACTTGTCACACGGGTTGTTTTATTTCAAAACAACCTTTCAACCTAATTAGTTATTTAGTTAGAGTAATTTTCCTCCGACTGGCCCTCCAAAATTTGTATTGGTCAGATATTTTAGTTAACTTATCTAAATTTTTGAAGTCAATTATCTTTGTCAATATAAAAATATTTGGTTTTCTCACAGTTGTTCTGTTTCAGATAAATAAATGATTTTATTTTCTATATAGGTATCCCTAGAAATCCTTCTTAACCATTTTTTTAGAATTTTTTTGCATTCTGGCAGTAGTTTATACCTTAGGAATTGTTGGTATATTCCTGCTATGCATACATGGCCGTCAAGGGAGCCATGGCCTGCCCACTTTTTTTTGTGAGGACCTTTTGTTTTAGTAATATAGGCAATCTTTTTAGAAATTGAGGGGTTGACCCCCTCCACTTTGAATGCCGTGTCAACGCCATTGGCATAAGCCAATTCAAATCACGCTTTAAGTAACAAATCACTATTTTAGTCTATAAAATGAAAACTGTACATGTACCGATAAAATAATTGTAATAAACATTGTTGGTATTACATAGTAGAACACTCATGTAACCGTTATTTTAAAAATAGTGACCGAATTTCAAAGTAATCGGTAACGCTTTGAGGTAAAAGTAGCAAAAAACTGACAAAACTTTAAATAAAACTGCAATAAATACTACACCAGACATCCAATCAGGCTGACATTTTGTTCAGAGTTTGGTGTGACTATTGGCTACATTTGCACCAATTTTTATCAAATTATATTGAGTGGTTCAAATTCTACTAGTGTTTTTATTGGCGCACTATGAAGTCAAAATTTGACTTAATTTGAACATTCAAATTTAATTATTTTCCGCGGACAAAATTAAATGATTTCAAAATTTGCATCACAGGATACCTTGATGTGTACGCTAACTTTCCGTATAAGTGGCGTTCTTGGGACAGCTAGGCATTATAAGGATCCGTGCTGACCCTGTACTAACACTATTAAGTTCGGCAATAATTTATAAATGTTTCTAAACTGTCAAAATGGCTACAAGAAGAGACAAACACTATTCTGGTAAGTTCTTCATTTATAATATGTTCATTGAATCTAGAAAACTAAAATCATAAAAATAAAATGGAAACCATGTCTCTATTTGTTAAAAAAAAATTAGTTAAGAGTTTTCTCAAATTTGTAACTAAATGTAATTGTTGCATTTAATATCTAATAATATGAAAGTTTTATTGTAATAAAACTTTCATATTATTAGATATTATTATTAGATATGATACTGCATGGGTTAAAAGTTTATTCATGTAAACGTAACTTTATTTGTTATTATGGGTATTTTGAAAGTAGTCTTTTTGTTTGGAGTTCTGCGAAACTTATTTAATAAAATTAAGTTAAAAATTAAGTACTATTAAGTTATGTATATTCTAATAATATGGTATTACAATAACATTAATCTTGATGAAAGTTTGTTTTACATTTTTAGCAATAACTACTGATTCATGTTATGGAAAATCTTCTGCTCGCATGGTGAGGTCAACAAACTATGTTTCAATACCTGTAGATAGAATTTCTGATGATTTTAATATTTAAGAGACCAAATGAAATATATGAATCAAGCAGTGAATCTAAAAAAGAGAGAGGTAGAGAATTTGAACATAGTGACATCCCGTCACTGATATTTTCAAATACAACAAGTACTTAAGTTTTGTTCAACAGACATGTCATGATGTAGATATATTTAAAATAGTAATAATTTAAGTCCGGAATTAGAGCATGTCATTTCTTTGTGATGTTAAAAGTGTCTTGATGTTATTTTATTATACAAGTTAATACTTCAAGTTCTTTTTATTTCAGTAAATTTTTTAACTTTAAATATTTAAAATTTAAAACTTCCTTATAAAACTACCATTTAAGACTCCCTTGCAATCTCAAATCAACCTGTTGCTTTGAGATGGCTAGTTCCACTTGTTTTGGAAAAAAATTCTAGATGGTAAAACAATCATTAAGAATGCATTGTTGTTGTTTTTTTAAACATTTTGAAAATATTTATTATTTTTTGCTTTATTGGTACTTAAATTTTTTCTGTTTTGTAAAATTCAAAACATGAAAACTAAGTTTTTAAGCTGAAAATTTCAGGAAACGTTTAAGTAAATTTGATATAAAAAGACTTGCCATAAAATTTTTTAAAGACGCACCCGTCAGAAGGTGTATAATAGGGTGTTTTTATCACTATGTGAACTGTTGACTACGAAAAATATTCTGTTTTAAAATACACTTTACTTTCTTTTTGCCATTACGAATTTATATTGAGTTGTTAATTATATTTTTTAAAATTAAAATAGTTATGTTTTAAACTAAAATTTCTTTAAAATTTAATTTAAAACATAACTATTTATAAACTATTTAAAAACCTTTATCAAGCATTTTGTATAATATTTCACAACTTTTAAGAGCTTTAAGTAATGCAGTAATGCCAGATTTGGTGAAAACAGAAATCTATTATTGTGCGGTCGCATGAACTTGTTTTCTCTCAACAATCTTTGCAGTTAAATATCAAACGTCAAAGTTGTTCCGCAAATGCTTTTCTTTAAAACTTTAAAAACTTATACTTTTCACTTTTCTCCCACAAGATTCAAAAATTACCTATGTATGTAAACATCTATGTAACTTTAAGCTCTTATGTAATGAATTATCATTAAATGAACTTTCACAATTGTTTTTTTTTTCAATAAATAATCAAGGTCCTAATGTTTCTTTACAATACAAACAATTGAAAGCAGACTTAAAAATTTTTGTGACACGCGATTACTATTTATCATTTTAAACCTTCAGTATTCATTTATTGAATTAACTTTTTTTAACGCTTTGAGTTACAGTGGTAAGCAAATTAATGAAAAGGTGATTAACTGTAAAAACTCAACATTTTGCCATTGCCCCAGTACCCCAGTATCTAAGTACACCGTCTCAATTACACCAAAACATATGCTGTTTTATAATATAAATAAATATTAAATATAATATTTACATGAAAATATCTATTTCTAATAAACCATTGTATTCATGCTTCTTTATAGTGCACACTAGAGAGACCACGTAATATACTGGCAGCCTTAAAGAAAAATAAAATATACAACGAAAGAGTGATCAAAACATAGACAAGGTTCTCACCCTCGATCATGCATATATTGTGATGCATGATAAGGGTGTATGTAAAAAGAACATGCAAATATTGTATATAATACAGTGTTATTAAAAACAACAACAACAACAACAACAATAAAAAACAGATTTTCAAATTCTATAAGCTTTCTGATCGAAGTTTTAAATCTTTATAAGTGAGTAAAACTCAAACAATTTTCTAATAACATATTTTATTCAGTATATATTTAAAAATGGATTGAGTTTTCTGATTTACTTTTTTAATTTATATTTAATCAGACCGTTGAGAAGTTGTTGCAAAACTGTCACGCTTTCATTATCAATATTGACATTACGTTATTATTGTTAATTAACTAAAGAACTTTTAAAGGATCTACAGAATGTTTTTTAAATTACCATTAAAATACATATTTTCATTCAAAAATGTAAAAAAAAACAATTATTTTGAATGGATGCTTGAGAAGAAACTAATCATTTTAGGTTAGTATCTGGTAATTTTGTTAAGAAACCAAAAAAAGTTAAAACAAATTTTCTTTTTATAGTAGGAGATGCTGATTTTACAATATATCTAGTTTACAATATATTTCTTTTTTTTTTTAATCTAATCTAAATCAATATAAGTAATAAAAATTATATATGTGTGCTATTTTATATGTGAACTTTTGTATATGCGTACTATTATATTTGTGTCCTATTGTATATGTGTACTATTACATATGTGTACTATTATATATGTATCCTAATATATATGTGTACTATTATATATGTGTACTACTGTAAATGTGTACTTTTATATATGTGTACTATTAAATATGTGAACTATTATATATGTGTCCTATTGTATATGTGTACTATTATATATGTGTACTATTATATATGTGCGCTATTATATATGTGCACTATTATATATGTGTACTATTATATACTTGTCTTATTATATATGTGTACTATTATAAATATATACTATTTTTTATGTGTACTATTATATATGTATATTATTATGTGTTAAAAAAAAAGTTGATTTTTCGCATTTTAGGAAATGTTTTTTAATGATAATCAAAAAAAATATTCTAGGAATGTGTGGTGAGGTCTTAAAGCAAGTTAGTATAAACATTTCAAATTAATACAAATTAAAAAAAAAATGTAGATAATAATTGAAAAATAAATAATAAACGTTTGTTAATGGTCAGTGCATTCTAGTAGTTATAATTTTCACTTTTAATTAAAAAAAAAATAACATAAAAAACCCTGATATATATATATATATATATACCTTTTCCGGTGTTATATCTCTCATTGGACCAGCCAGCATTTCAAACCCTACCATGTGTTTCTTTATCTAATCCAATTTAACTTTAATTTTATTTTTTACTTAATTATCCAATAATAAAGAGTTATAATTACGTTAATAAATATTTAAAATCACCAAAAAAAGAAAATAATTTTACTAATAAAAAAGTATTCAATTACGTCATGCTGTAGGGGAGGGGGAAGAAGTTAGTAGTTATGTGACAACTCATACTAGACGTGTTACTAAAGAGTTATGATGTTGTGACTAGGAGGAGGGAGGGGTCAAAAACGATCAAAAGTTGCGTGACGTAATTTATGGACAACCCCTAAAAAGCCTAATAAAGTGGAATTACTAGAACAATTAATAAGTTGTCATTAAGTTAAAGTTAGTTAAAAAAAACAAACATACACTAGCAGACCGTAAAAGTGGCGGAAAATAATGAGCATGAAGTTGCCAATGGGAACAATCGCTCAAACATTTTTCATTAAAGGGTGCACCTAAAATTTACAATAAGTATTTTTTTTTTTCACATAGATTTTAATAAAAAGTTAGTAAACATTGTTTGTGCTCATATAACATGTAATCAAATACTAAATAATATTAAATACATTGTAATCAAATAATATTAATATTGTTATTGTAAAAAGAGTTAGCAATGTTTGTATTCATATTCCAATATAAGGTTAGATAAAAAAGTGATTAGAAGATTAACATTAACATAACAAAGTTACCATGCCAACCCATAGTGTAAGGAAATGACGTCTTGAATAAGTTATCATACTTTGTGAGAAATATCTTCATTATGATAGCCAAGGCTTTAAATAAAATAATAATAAATAATTATAAAAAAATAAGAGTAAATAATTAGAAAAAATTAATAACACTAAATATCAAAAAGCTGAGCTTACATTTTTGTTGTATCTGTGTAAGATCGCTTATTCTTTTTGTAGGAGCTTTTGGTAACACAAGAAGTTCATAAGGCCACATTGCCCTGTAAAAAAATGAATAATATGTAATCCTTGTACAAGACACCTTCGCTCATGTAAGCCTTATAAAATACGCCTTCAGTGTCACTAATGTAACCCTTATTCAAAACACCTTAACTAGTGTAAGTCTTATACAAAAAAGGTATAAAATAGCCCCTATGCTATATTAAAAATTGATTATGATATATTAAAAAATATACTGTTTTCATTGAAAAACATGTTTGCTAACTAATTATTGCTCTTGTAACACCATGTAGTAATTTATTTCTAATAATTAGTTCCTTTTTTTTCTTCTGTAATTTGTTCCAGTATTTTTCTTCTGTAATTTATTCCAGTAATTTCTAGTAGTAACTTATAACTAATTTTAATTTCATCTTCTCAGTATTAAATATTATCCCTTGATTTGCAAAGACTCCAATAGTAACATCCTTTGCCTATTAATATACTTATGTATCATTTCATCTATTTGTCATGAAATCAGGTTTGAACCCAATTCTTTTATGCGCTATAGCTCACCACCTTTTCTTTCAATCACATTTCTTTTTGTTCTTTACTGTTTTCCTTCATGACTGTATCATTTTGAAGTAACTGTATAGTTCATTGCTTAGGAGGCCGTGCTTGATCTATGAATGAGTCAAGTTCTCTTTAAACTTAAATGCCAAAAGTAACCCAAAATATTAAACATAAAAAACCATACCCACCACCTAACTGTTTTAATATTTAATCTATAATAAAATTAATATATATATATATATATATATATATATATATATATATATATATATAAATATATATATATATATATATATATATATATTTATATATATATTTGTTTTAATTTAATATATCTTTTACAAATACTTGTGGTCTGTGAAGCAATCTATCATCGTTGAATCTTACCTCTTGCAAAATTCATCAGACTTGCTTGGTCTTAATTAGACTAATTTAAATTCCGCTAATCCTTCTTCAGATCTCAGTGTTGATAATTACTATCCATTGATTCGCAAAGACTTCAATAGTCACATGCTTGGCTTGGGAGTATACATACTAAGGACTGGCGAAGTTGGCTTTTCAAGATACGAATTTATACAAAGATAACTTTAGACCATATGCGTAAACCAAATTTAACTGAAAGTTGATTTTAGGCTATATGTGTACCCCAAACTTAACTGAGAGACAAACTTTGACTTTTAAACTGAATTTAACTGAAAGTCGAATTTAGATTTTTAAAAAGCATGTAATTGAAAGAGAAATCTGAACCTTTATATCAAATTTTAACTTATCATGCATAAACAGATTTAACAAGAATTTAATAATATTTACAAAATGCAAGTACACTGATTTATAAAATATTACTTTTTTAAAAATAATGAAAGTACATTTTGGGATAATTCATTTTTTATAAACCAAATTTATTATTTTTTAGCATGTAATTAACCATATTTCAAAACCTGACAAAATATAAGTGAAAGTAATTTTTTATTTATCAAAAATAAAATATACACGCTTACAATAAACAACATCAACTTGTGTAGAAAAAAAAAAATTCTAAAAAAATGCAGCAATAACGCTATCTTAATAACTCCAAATGCTTTTAAACAAGCATTAACAAAAAAACATTAACAACATTCATTGAAAAATTTGAATGTCAATTTTATAAAGGAAAAAGATAGTGAAGACTCTCTTTTTCTCTGAAACATAAACTTTGACAAACAAAGCCACAGGGCGGAGAAACAGGTTGATATACATGAAACAAGTAATGTATTTTATAATAACTTTTCTTTTTTAGCTGAAAAAAAAATAGCTTTCGAATTTAACTGAAAGTTAAATGAAGTTTTGCAATTGTTACCAAATTTAACTGAAAGCTAAATTTCTCTTTCAAATTTGACACCGAAGTTGAAGCCGAAGTCAACTTTGCCTTTCAGTAAACTTTCGAATTTCAATGAATATTCTTCTTGCTCTTTATCATTCTCCTTCTTCCTAAGACTGCACTCTTTTAGATGTAATTTCTGATTAAATTGACCGAGCCCTCTCTCTTTATTCCTCTGCCAATATTGTTGTTATTAGTGACAAAATGTATTAAACTAAATATAAACCTAATGTTCATCAAGTTTAATGGGTTGGCTCTAACGCCACTGACCCTGCTGGCATTAAAGTCTATAACTTCTGCATTTAGCCATAGAAGAGTTTAATTGAGATATGTATTTTTGTAATTATTCGAAGGATAAATAATAATATTTATAATAAATCGAAGATTTATAAATTAATCGAAGACATTATTACCAAGGGTAGGTCTAACATTCCTTCTCTCATTCATGGGACTGATCTTATTACCTCCAAGGTAATTACCGTGGAGGTAATAAGATCAATTATTCAAAGGATAAGGCAGAACAAAGAACTTTTTTTTTTAATTCGACTCTTGAATCTTATGTCCATTCCTTTCCTTCCATTTCAATTAAGCAGGTTAACAATGAGTTAGACATTCAAACCACTCCAGCTTCTGTTGCTAAAATCATATCTCAATTAAACTCTTCTATGGCTTGTGGTCCAGACAACATTACTGTCATTAACTTGCAAAAGTATTTTCTGGAAATTTATTCAATTCTCTCAAAATCATATAATAAGTGCTTAACTAAGTCTTACTTTCCTGCCTGCTGGAAAAAAGAAAATGTATAGTTAGGTATATCTGTGGTATATCTACTTTTAGGGTACCTAAAAACTCTATCTGTAGTCCTGTTTTGTTTCTTGATCTGATTTCACTTCTGTAACAGATGTAAATGCAGTGGCTTGTAAATTAAAATTCTAACAAAACTCAGTTATTTACTGCATACAACTATCACAACTGTCAATATTCCTATATTAATAAATGCATACCTCTTACAGAGTCTTTTTCTTTACATCTTCTTGGATTATCATTCACTACTAACCTTTCATGGAAACCATATATAAAATTGATTGCAATGTTAACATCTGCTAAGGTTGGTTCTCTTTATCGTACTCACCATTATCTTACTCCTGATTCCATTCTTTACCTCTACAAATCTCTTTTTTATCTCTGTATGGAATACTGTTGCCATGTTTGGGCTGGTTCTTCTAATGATACTCTTTGTCTTCTAGACAAAGTCCAAAAACACATTGTAAATGTAGTTGGTCCTGCTCAATACGCCAAGCTTTCCCATCGTCATAAAGTTGCATCTCTTTCACTTTTCTATTAAGGTTGCTGCTTAAAGGAGCTATCATCTCTAGTTCCATCAACTAAAACTCATTCTCATTTGACTTGCAATTAAGCAAAATCTCATTCATTTTCTGTATCTGTTTCTGTATGCTTTAAAAACATTTATTTGTCTTGTTTTTTTCTCCGCACTTCAACCTTTTGGAACTCTCTACATCTTTATGTTTTCTTGACTCATACAACTTAAAACTTTTCAAGTCTTATGTCAATCATTTCCTTGCTCTATAACTCTTTTTTATCTTCTACTAACTCCCAACTTAATAGCGGTTGCTTGCAGCTTTGTTGAGAGTGAATCAGAATGAAAAAATATTTCTGCCCAAACTGACCAAGCTTATTCTCTCTATCCCTTTGACAATATTGTTGTTATTGGCAACTTTAATGCTCATCAAACTGAATGGCTTGGCTCTTGTTCCACTGACCTTGCTAGCTCCTAGACCTACAACTTTTTTTTTAACTCAGATTAAAAAGTGATTATGATTATCCATTGGAAGCCAAAAGTTTTCTCTCTCTTTTTTACAATCACTACCATGGTCACTGCTCAAGCAAGTTATAATCATTTGTTCCATCAACCAAAACTCAATCTTGTATGATTCTTCATTCAATTAAGTCACATCCTTTTACTGTAAATGTTCCTTCATACTCAAAAAACTTTTATTCATCTAGTTTTTATTGTGAACACCAGTACTTTAGAGTTTTTTCCCATCTTCATGTTTTCCTGACTCATAGGATTTACATTTTGTTATGTCTTCTATTCACTGTTTTCCTTCTCTTTAACTCTTTTCTTTGTTTTCTGTTAATTCTTTGTTAACTTGTTTATTTTAAAGTAAAAACATTTTAACCTTTAAATATATTTTGCAATTTTTCATGTTGTTCAATAACTTTTATAACTAAAGTTTATTTTATTCTCAAAAAAATAAAAAAAATCTTGTTAATTACAAAATTGAGCCTAAAATTCTTATTAAAAAACTTGATAACAAGGTGAAAACAAAATACCATTTTTTTTATTTGAGGAAACACTTTGCTATTAATTTTTAATAAATATTTCGAATTTAATAAGTTTAAAACTATTACCAATACGGAACCACAACAAGCCAGTCTTGGTTTTCAACAACAATACGATCCTAAAAATAACATTCCTAAAGATGATTATGTTGTTCAAAACCTTTAAAGCTTTCAAAAAATAATCGTTGTTTGTTAAACCTTTTAAAGCTTTCAAAAAATAATCATCAAAAACCTTTTTTTTTTTAAATTTTTTGAAAAAACTTAGATCAAAAAATTTAAATCAGGCAAGTAAAATATTTCATGCAAACTAAAAATTATTAAGTATTTTTTGGCTATTTTTACTTAACTTTGGATGATTCCCTTACTTAACATTATTAACATTTTTAAACTAATGTAGGTATTTATTTTATAAAATCTGTAAATACATGAATTTTTGCAAGATGTAGTTTGCCCATGTCTTTCTGAAATGATTGCTGCAACATGTGATAATGTCTTTCTGAAATGGTCACTTAGCAACATGTGATAGTGACAAAGACAATTATGACAATTGCCAACAGCACAAAAATGGTTGATAGAGGTTGAGGAAAAATATCTATAGCTTAGGGCAAACATTCAATTTCTTCAAGTTTCAAGATGCCACAACTTTAATACCGTTTTTCTTGAAATCTAGATTTTAAAATGTGACATATTTTTGCAGATAACTTTGAATAGGATTAGATTTGCATATTGGTGTCATTTTAAAGCTCTAAGTGCCAACTTTACTATGATGTACAATATTCATATTATGTCATTTGTGACATAATGATTAATTAGGTCAGGTTGATCACATATTACTATAACAAACATAGTTTTTATAGTAAACAAGTAAACTGTACTAAAGTACCGTATTACTAGAGCAAAGTTTTTCATAAACACATTCATTTATATTTCAAGTTAGCAAAGTTTGTACAATAAAGAAATTTAAAACAATAAAACAGATTTTTTCATTTTCTGGAAATCAGTAATGTATATTTATTTGTACAAAAGAGTTTATTGAAGTAATCTTTTTTTTATTTTATTCATTTTATCTATTTTTTGTTTAAATTACTTTTTAGTTTCATTTTTATAAATCTTGTGAAAGAAACATTTTTATTATACCTTTTTCTCCATTTCTTTTCTAGCATATTCCATCAACATGCTTTTCTTGTGTTTTTTGTAATACATGCGCTGGTTATCATCCTATATATATATATATATATATATATATATATATATATTATATATATATATATATATATATATATATATATATATATATATATATATATATATATATATATATATATATATATATATATATATATATATATATATATATATATACATATATATAAATTAAATATAAATAAACCAATATAAATTTTCAAAGTATGTGTATAAAAAAATAAAAATATACTTGTTACCTCTATTTGTATTCCACGTGGTAAAAATGAGCAAGCCCAAATCTTTGTTAGATAGATGAAAGAGTAAAAGAAGAGACTACATCAATTCAAACAGAACATTCAAAAAATTTTATTTTAATGCTAACAAAAGATAGTGTTAATTATTTTTAAGAATGTTACATTTATTAACATTAATGTTTTAACATTTAATTTTAACTTTTTTATATTTTTGCAAACCTTGACAAAAGTTTTTCAAAACTTTAAAACTGCTAAATGATCTCTTAGACATTTTATCTAGCAGTACACTAATAGTAAAAAAAATATCTGTACACTAAATACACTACATATATTTATTTTCATACATTTTGTAAATAAAATACATATTTAAATTTGTACACAGAGAAAATTAGAGGCATCGTTTTTTTTTCTTTGTTTATGCAGTTGATTGTTAATTAAAATTAAACAACAACAAAAGTAAAAAACAAGATAACTTTTATGAAATTAAATATCAAATATAAGTAATCAAAAAACACACTTTTCAAATTTTATTAATAGAAATATATTTGAAAAAAGTAGGGCAGCTTACTATTAATGTTTGAATGATTTGATAAGTTAAAAAATTGATATCATTAGTATAAAGTCAGTAAAAATGTCAAATAATGAGTACAATAGGTGTAAACAATATTGCAAGTGAACTAGTTAACAATCAAGTCTAATAAAGAAAACCTTGTCAATGTGATGCAAATCTTGCCTGCAGCATTACATTGAGGCCAATGCTAACTAAACTAAAAGAACACAATAATAAGTTGTCAATTTTTTAATGGCTTCAAAATAAAAAAGTGAATTAAGTATTTTATTGCTTATCCACATTATGGAGAAAACAAAATAAAACCAATAATTGAAGCTTTCAAAACATTTTAAAATTTGAAATACAAAAAGATATAATCTAAAAAGATTGAATGTAACAAATTTCATTCATCCTAGATATTTTATTCATTCTAGATATTTCATTCAACCTAGATATTTCTCTGAATATTTTAAAGGTTTGTCAAGACAAATGGGATTTTTGTTTAAAAATGATGAAATACAAAACTATATCATACCAAGCAAACAAATTACTAACGATTAGTGAGTTATTATTAATTCATTAAATTTTGCTAACTATTATCACTAATTAAGCCAAGAAAAAAACTCCAGAAATTCTACATCAAGAGTTAGCAAACCTCTAAGGTCTAAACTATTAAATAACAGATGTTATTTAAAAGTGGTAAACAAGGCGATAACCAGTTTAAAAGTGGTAAACAAGGCGATAACCAGTTTATGATTTTTTAATGATCATTAAAAGAACAAGTGTAGAGCCAGAAAAAAACTATTTTTAAAGTTAACTAGAAAGTTCAGCATAAAAGTAAACCAAAAAATATTTTTAAACAAATTACAACTGTCATAGATTATCCAGATCATATTTTAAAAAATCCGGAAAGGTAAATTATCCAGAAAAAATCCGGAATATATTTTCCCTAATATTCCTCTTAATTTTGATTTTAGCTAAGTTGTTTTTAATTTTTTTTTAACTTTTCCTAATTTTTGTATGAGTAATGAATAAAAAAGCTTAAAAGACATATTACAAAAATATAATCCTAAACTTGTATGTATAGAAAATATTTTTGATATCCGGAAAAACTAAAAGTTGAGAAAAAATATCCGGATTTCCAGAAATATCCGGAAAAAGATAATCCATAAACTGTAGATGAACTGTGGTTAGAATTTAAAAAATGTTTGAACAGAAAAATAATCTTCCTTAAAGACAATCACCAGTCATTTTAGGTAATACTTTTTTTTTTCTATCTGATAGCAAACTCAACTCAAGTTGGAATTGAGCAGTGTGTTTTTTACAATCAAATTGCCAGACCAGAAAAGTTCCATTATTTCAGATCTTTTAGATTTTGATTTAAGCTGTTGTTTTGAAGTTACAAATAAATAGTTATTTTGAAGTTACAAATAAATAGTTTGTTTTTCTAAATTAGAAACCAAATATTAATGTAGCAACAGTCATTTTTTGTACTTTTTCTAATATTTTTTCATTTGAACTTAATTACAAAGTCATTAGTAATAAATAGCCAATGTATTTTCAAAATTTATACTTAATGCAATGCATCAAGAAAAGACAAACAATAATTTTTTTAGTACCTATATATTTCATTACATTTAAAATACAAACAAATTTATATAATTATTCATTTTATTTAAAAACTTTTGCTTTTATTATGCTTACTACATTTTTAATGTTTTAAATGTTCAATTAATTTTTATTGCTTTATATTTATGAAAACAAAATAAATTATAACAACAAATAATAAATTATAATATAAAAAATATGTTTTTATGTTTGAAGATTTTAATGCGATGTGTTCCACATTGTAAATATTAAATAATAAGAGAAAGCTTGTGTACCTAGAGCCTTCTTGTATGTAGAGCCACCCCAATTATTTTTTTTGTATGTAGAGCCACCCCAATTAATTGAAAATCATAAAGTTCTGAGTAATGTTTATCAGTCAGGTTTATCAGTGATAAGTTATAAAAATATTTATTTTTAAATTTGATTCTCAAAGAGCGATGCTATGACAAGTTATAACTGGAAAACTCTTTTTGATGGTTTAAAGTATGTTTTTGCTGCTGGTATTTTAGATTATTTTACAATCCTAAAGAAAATGCTTTTCTATAAGTTCTTGTATATTATATTGTTTGTTACTTAAGTACTAAATGCAATGTTCAATAAGTTTCCTCTCATAACTTAACTTGGAGTTAGTTAATAGATGACATTTTTCATGAGGCTATCATTTCTTGTACCTAGGAGTTACAAGAAATGATAGCTCTAAGAATTTGCTTGATAACAAGGTAAATTGTTAAATTTTGATTGGTGCAGAATTCATGTTCTTCTCACGATTGTTTTGGGAGTATTATTTTACGTGTAGCCTTATTTTTTAATTTTGCTCAGAATTATTTGTCAATTTTGTCATTTACGTAAGTTTTGCAATTAAGTAACATTAGATAAATTTGTTGAAAACCATCTAATAAATTCTATAAATAAACTAATAAATTTAATTATTAGATAATAAATTTATTTATTAGATGATTAAATAAATTTTAAATCAAATTTATCTCAGTTGTCAATTTATTATAAAGTGAAACCTAATTTTCAGGGAGCAGCCCTAGGGAAATAGCTAACGGCTCTAGGTACAATAGCTAGTGGCCCTAGGTACAAAAAAAGCTTATTGTACCTAGGCCACTACTTTTTAAACCCTTCTACGTGACAGACTTTATAGTTTAAGTCAATATACTTATACTAATACAAAGTATGATGTGATCAGTTTCACTATTTTTTAGAAAAGCCTGGGGCCTTAAATTTGGGCATTGAAAAAATTCGGCCCTAGGTACAATAAAATTTTGTGAGACCAATTTAATATTTTGTAAGTTATAGTAAACTTGAAAAAAATTTAAAAATAATGAAAAAACAAAAAAATCTTTTTATATGTATAGACCATATAAAAAATATAGTGTATTTAAAAAAAAAGTGTATTTTAAAAAAAGCATTGGTGTTCATGCAGTTTTTAAAAAGCTAATGCTTAAGGCCAAAGTTGAAAGACTATGGTGGTATAAGTAAAAGTTTAAAAAATATGATAAACACTCTTGGTTTATAAAAAAAAAAAAAAAAAAATTATTTTGTTATGAATATAATTTAAAGGGTTTATTTCAACAAAATGTTGTTCAACTGTTGAACTTTATATTTTAAAATGACAAAATTTTAAAATAATTTCATAATTTGATTTTAAATATCTTATTTAAAAACAATTTATCTTAATAAAAACTTAATTTTTATTTTTGTTGTAAACCAAAAAAGATTTTTTGAAAAGCATGACTGAAAACAAATGGTTTTAAAATTGTTGTAAAACTTGTCAAAACACATACGCTGAAATATCATGCAACTTAAAACACATACATTGCAATATGGTTTAACTTAAATTTTATTTTATAGAAATAAATATAGCAAAAGGAAAAAATTGTTTGAAGTGCCCATTTTTTTAATCAAATGAAACTTTAAAATATTTGAAACGGTTTTTTAAATTAATAACTAATAATTTTTAATCAAGATTTAAGATTAAAATTTTAAATTTTAGAAAGTTACCTGACAATGTGGATGAACGTTTGAACAACCCATCATAGTGCCTTTGTTTTCAAATATCTAAATTCAATACTCTCAATATTATTTATACTGCTGTTCAATATATTTTACAGACAGTGTTCAAAAATGCAAAAATAAACTTATATAATAACATGTATATAGCATTGTATAAGTGATTTTGTTAAGTTTATTTAAAAAAAAAAAGACCTACTTGAATCCATTCATACTTTTGTGAGAGTTCCAGAACTTGTCTGATCCACTCAGCTATAACTGCCAATATTTCATTTTCACTCATTAGAGGAAGAGAGAGATCCGAATATGGATGAAAACACATAACGCGACTAGAAAATTAAATTTTATTTTAAATTTTAAAAATTATCCCCATCCCCATTTCCATCATTATGATCATCATCACCACCACGAAAATTACAATCACCGCTACTATCATCATCATTGCCACCACCAAAATCATCATTGCAAAAAAAAAAGTTTCTCACTTATTCTTCATTATTTTATTAAACTTATTTTTTCGAATATCAGTCCAATTTTTTGCATCGAACTTTATCAGACAAACTATTAGCAAAACTTTTAAAATTTTGAAATTTTTTTTTTTTTTGCTAAGTTCTATCTCTAGAAATCACTCTACTAAAACTTTGTGTTAATAAAATGAATTAACATAACCATAATCAACATAATTGTGAATCAACATAAGCATGAATCATGAGTCATAAATTAGAGTCTATATTAGATTGAATAGAAATGAGAAATTAATTTAGAAAAAAAAAAAAAGAAACCACTGAATCAATCTATAGTATATTTTTACCTGTACATTTTTAATAACTACCTCAGACAATACTATAAATGGTTTTAAGGATTATTAAAACATTTAGTGATATAAAACTTTTTAAAAAATATGGTTTTTTGTTCATCAAAAAACCAGTTTAGATTTAAGAATAAAAAAGAAACTAGGTTAGGAAATAAAAGTTTCAAAAAAAGTTCAAAAAATCTAAATTTCTCAATAATATGTACTCATAGCTCATCATAAACGTTATTTCAAACTATTTTTTCAAACTATATTTAAACTAAAATTTAAATTAAAAATAATTCAAAATTAATTTAAATCAAAAGAGGTATTCCATGAGAAAGTGGGACAGGTATGTAACCCACCATCTCAGATTTTCTTCATACTTTGTAAAAATGGTATATAAAATGTATATAAAATCTATATAAAATAAAATGCAAAATTTTAGCACTGATATCAAAGGGGTTTTGGAGTTATTGTTACTTTAAAATCAGCTATTTTTAGCAGTTTTTTCTGTTTGGTGGCCATTTTGATTTTATTATAGTTTTTGTTTTACAAGTTACTGTTTAACTAAACATGTAATTAAGCTGAAAATGAGCCCCAGTATAGTTTTTAGGATGAGGAATCAGAATATAATATTTGTTTTTAATGAGAATATTTAGAACTATATCAATATGGCGATTGTACTTCACCTACAGATATTTTTGAAATTTTACCAAAGGCAAAAAGGAGGTCTGGTAACTATGGTAGCATTATTTTATTGTGATTTTTTTTTGTTTTTATTAAAATAGATATTCTAATGAGTTTTTTGGTGCAAAATTTAGAGGTAGGTTTTTTGAAATTTTTTGTAATAATATTTTTATGTGAAATTAAAAGTATTATGTGAAAAAATAAGTATTATAGGTCTGTGCTCATGATTTTATTTTAAATTAATTGACATTTACAATTTTCATTAGTTATCAGAAATATTATACAAAAGTAATCCTTTTAACCTATTATTTAAAGAAACTTTAATTCAAATGAATATTTCTTTTTTAAATAAATTTTTGCTTTCTAATTAATAACATATTATGTCATCTTTGACTAAAACAGATGACTCAATATTTAAAACCCTAAGACTTAGTCTGATTAGTTTGATGTTTTACCAGCTGTTGTTTGTTCTCCATAGCTAATCATTAATTTGAAAAAAAAATTTTAAAATCAAAGTTAAAAAAATAAATACATAAAATACTATATATTGTACATATTTAAAAATACTAATTATAAATGGTAAATATTTTTTCCATTTTTAATAAATGCATTAAAATGTATTAAATATGTCTGTGTATTTTGTGTTTATTTATATCTTAATAAAAAATTGAAAAAAATAAAATGAACAAGATTTTATGTACAGTAGGTATTTTATCAAATGATCAATGCCATAAAATGGTGTACACTAAATTAATTGGATTGAAAGATTTATCAAGCTATTCAGAGAAAGATAGAAATTTATTATTATGGAGATCTGGGCTATCGATATTAAATGTTAATGTTAAAATCTGTTTACATCATGAACAAATCTTACTTAACCGGTTTGCCAACTCCCAAAAAAATTGCATTGACCCATTTAAAAAACATAAAACTAATATAAATGGTAAATTTTTACGTTTTTAACTTATTGTGCTGTCTTTTTACAAAAAATACATCTAGTACACTTTCAATTGAATCAGATATTATTAATAAGGAATAGAATTGAATCAGATATTATCAATAAGGTGGAAAGCTTTTATTGTAATGATCAGTTTAGTAGGCAGTTGCCATGTATAAAAGATTTTGTTAGTGTATTCGAAAATAAACATGTATCAAAGCGATTACTTCTTTGCAATTTAAAGGAATTATTTATTGAATTCAAACTAGAACACCCTCAATCCAAAATAGGATTTTCTAAATAAAAAATCCAAAATGGTGTGTTTATGCTGGTCAAAAAGGACCCCATGCTGTTTGTATATGCGCAAAACACCAAAACCTAAAGCTTATGTATAGCGCAGTTAAACTGGAGAAGAATTACTATGAACTTATTTGAGAAGATTGTTTGTAGCAGAAAGTCAAGGGAATGCACGGTCCATAGATGTAATCAATGCCCTGGAATTCAAAATATTATAAATTATATGACTGCAAATCTATAGCAAAATGAAGGATCATTTGAAGGGAATGACAAAGTGGATGAAGATGAAAAAATTTAATACAAACAATGGAGTACAACAGATAGAGCAGAGCTTCTAAGTAACACATCTACAATAAGTGAATTCATTGAAAGTCTTAGTGGAAAACTTGATAATATAACATCTCACTCTTATATTGCTAAATCACAAAGTAAATATTTAAATACATTAAGTCATCTATACCCATAAATGAAATTATTGACTTTGCAGAAAACTTTTAATTTGTCATACAAGACAAAATCCAGATTTACTACTGGAACCAACAGCAATGCACACTACATCCTGTAGTTATTTATCACAAAAATGATGAGGGTTCTACTAAAAGTCAACCAACATCTTTATGTTACATATCTGAGGACTTAACACACAATGTTGGATTTATTTATTGTATAGTAAAAAGAACTGTCCAATTTGTACAAGAAATGTTTCCCAATACCATAAAAATCCACTATTTCTCTGATGGTTGTGCTGGTCAGTCAAAAATTGCAAACATTTTTTAAATTTATGCCATCATGTTGAAGATTTTGGGATGCAATGTGAATGGAATTTCTTTGCAACATCACATGGAAAGTCACTGTGTGATGGCATTGGTGGAACAGTTAAAAGACTTGTTTCAAATGCTAGTCTTCAACTTCTAATTGACTTACAAATTTAGAGTGCTGAAGAAATGTTTAATTTTTCAAAAGATAACATATTTGGCATCCACTTCTTTTTTTTAAAAGGCAAAGATATTTTATCAGTCCGTAAATCTCAAACTCTCCAATTGAATAATGCAAAGACTTTACCTGGTACAAGAAGTTTCCACCAATTTACTCCACAGGATGCAACAAGCATAAATGTCAAAAGAGTCTCTGAGCAGGAGAAATTTAATCTAACATTCAACCTTACTGCCTCAATTCAATATCTTCAAGAAATCATTGTAGGAAAATATTATATCTGCAAATATGATATGTTTAACTGGGTTGGTTTGGTATTTGAAGTTGATGAAAGAAATGAAGATGCCCTTGTAAAATTCATGCATCCTCATTTACCTAACACTTCATTACACTGGCCAAATAAAGATGATTGTTCTTGGGTTCCTAAGCCCCATATTTTAATTATGATAAAAAAACTATCATCTTCAAGATCAGGGCGCATATACCAGATAGACACAGATGATTTGCATAAAATCCAATTTTTAAATTAACTTAATCATATTACACCAGTTTTCTTATATAAGCAATTTATGAATTATTCAGATGCAAATTCTGGTTTTTTATTGACTAGTTTTTTATTTAAAGCTTGTATTTGTTTGATTATTTTGAGTTAATATATTACATCTATTATGAATTTTTCATTTTAACTTTTGTTAATGGTTTTTTTTTCTTATAATGGAAGTTTTCAAAATAAGAAATTTCTTAATAAGTAACATCCAAATGTACTTTTTCATTATAATTCATTTAATTATTTTTAAAAATCCTCAAGAAAACCCACCTCTCAATTTTGTACCACTTTTTAATATATCTAATTTAATAAAAACAACAAAAAATTTTTTTAATTGATGCAACCATGGTTACCAGACCTCTTTTCCGCTTTTGTTAAAATTTAAAAAATAGCTATAGGTGAAGTACAATCCCAATATTAATAAACTTCAAATTATTTTCATTAAAAACAAATATATTCCGATTCCTCGTCCTAAAAACTATATAGGTGCTAATTTTCAGCTTAATTACATGTTTAGTTAAACAGTAACTTGTAAAACAAAAACTATAGTAAAATCAAAATGGCCACCGAACAAAAAAACTGCTAAAAATAGCTGATTTTAAAGTAATAATATTTCTAAAACCCCTTTGATATTAGTGCTAAAATTTTGCAAGTTAGTCTATATTATATAGGTAACCATTTTTACAAAGTATGAAGGAAATCTGAGATGGTGGGTTACAAACCTTAAAAACTTGTCCCACTTTCTTATGGAATACCTCAAAAACTACAAATACCATATTAGATAAACTACAAATTAATACCATATTAGAAAAACTACCAATTAATACCATATCAAAAAAACTAAAAATAAGCAATTTACCATATACCTGTTGCAGATTTTACTTGAAAAAGGTCATCTTCACTATTTTGTGGCTCTAAAAATTTTGCAAATTAATGGCGAATATTATACAACATTAGGAGAATCATACAAAATAAATCATAACAGATAATCATACAAAGTTGCAAAAAGTAAAAACAAATAACTTGATAAACGTTTTATTTAAGTTTTTACTGTTCAATTTTTATTTTTGTTTGTTTTTTGAAATACGAAAAATAAATTTAATAAGTTTAAATAACATAAGAAATAAAAAGTATACTATTATTAGATTATTGTAATACTAACCAGTAGGTTTGTCGCATACTGATTATCGTCAGATATTTATTTATGTACAAGTAGAAATAGTGTTATTGCAGGATTTAGATACTTAGTTTAAATTTATTTTTTTTAGGTTTACTTTTTTTTGTACTACATATATGAAATATAATTCTAGAGATAATCACAAAAATATAATTCTAGAGATAATTATCATAAAAATATAATCCTAGAGATAGTTATCACAAAAAAAAAATCCTAGAGATAGTTATCACAAAAATATAATCCTAGAGATAGTTATCACAAAAATATAATCCTAGAGATAGTTATCACAAAAATTTTACCATTCAAAAACCAAATATAAGAGAAAAGATTTTGCCTGATAAAAAAAGACTATTTATCAGAAAAAACAGATATAAAAAAATTATTTATCTAAAAACAAAAAATTAGAGAGCAATAAGATATTAACAGTAATATTGTATTTTAAAGTACATAAAAGTGAAAAAAAACAACAACATAATTTCAAAATATATAGAATAACATCATACAAAATATCTAAAATTAACTAAATATCATCAATTTTATTTAGAGCGAATTGATAACATCTACCAGCAGAACTAATGGATAACATCTACTCATTTCTGAGCTTAAAAGTAAACAAAAATTAAAAAATTAAAAAATATCAAAAAATGACAAAAAATAAAAAATATACAAAGATGAAAAAAAAAATCGACAGGAGTGCAAGAGAGAAGAAAAACACTCCTAAAACAAACATGGCGAGCCATGTAAGCTGCTCCTCTAGACAGCTTCTTACGAGAGAATTTTAGTTTTTGCACAAGCTATCTGTTTATTCAATAAAAAAATTGCTTAAATTTTGTTTTATACTTGTTACAAGCATATGTTGGTAAAGTTTATGTTACAAGCATATATACATAACATGCGTGATTTATTGTGTTGTGAAAAAATTCTTTAGATGAGCATTGTCTTTGTGTTTTTATACTAGCTATCCATTTATTTATTAACAACATTACTTATTTGATAAAAAAAATTGGCAAAGAGCTATAAAAGTTTTTACTGCTTATAAAAAATGTTTTATATTTTCTTATTATAATAGAATGCAGGCATTTTAAGAATTATTATTTTAAAGTGTGATAATTTTATATTTTTCAGATAGTCCAAAAACATTTGCATTTCAATCAGGGTTCTTTTTTAAACTTTTTTTTTGTAATGTCTTTAAAAAGCATTGCAGTTCATTATGTAATTTTTTTTTTTTTAATATTTTGTGTTTTTTATTTCAGATACATATTATGATAATTATATTTTCGCAAGAGTTGTAAATTGCTTCTGTAAACCATTTTAGGGAAGTGTGGGCGAGAGCTCACCCCACCAAGGCCTAAGTTCTATACAAACTCTGAGTTGCAAACACTTACCAAAATGCATGATGGGATGAGAAGATATAGATAAAAGATTTGACAGATTATTATATGGCTAAAATTGTTAAGAGTTTTAAAAATAATTTTAACAATAATTTTTAAAGATGAATAAATACAATTATGAACTTTTATTACCTATTATTACCTATTACCTTTAAATTACCTGCCACTTGTGAACTAGGAAGTAAGATAAAAAAAAAAAATTTTTGATTTTTTTTAATTTGTTTTTAATGAACCTGACGGTTTAAGTTTCAAAAATATTTGTCAACTTCAATAAAAACATTATTTTTTATTAAACCTATGTTAACAATTAATAACTTTTTTGTTGTTGCAATTTTCAAATATATTTTTCTTCATATTTATAACACTGCTTCATATTTCTAACACTGCTTCATATTTCTAATGCTACTTAATATTTCTAATGCTGCTTCATATTTCGAACGCTGCTTTATATTTCTAACGCAGCTTGGTATTTCTAACACTGCTTCATATTTCTAAAACTGCTTTAATGACATGTGATCATTTATTATTATGTTTATCCATTGATTCTTTTTTAAATAGTACATTTTAACAATTCATCATAAGATATTACAAAGACAGTGGATAGTAATACTTCTATATACAACAAATCAAGAAAGTATGACACAGTACCTAACTTTATAACATATTCACACTTTGTACAACCTAGCTAAACTTTTTTGCAACATTACTATAAGGAAATTATGGTACAAATAGTGAGTTTAGTCCTTTCAAGAGCTTTGAATAAATTCTGATTAAGCTATATGTAATACCCTTAAAATATCAGCAGATCATTTTGCCAATTTCATTATTGGTGTTGTTTATATGTCTGGAGCAGACATTACACTTCAGATCACTTGAATCTAAGGCCAGCACTCTAACCACTGTGCAACAGCTGCTTTGAAAGTGATGATGTAAAAAAGTTTTTCAAGGTGGTGATACAATTGATTGCTTTTTAATTTGTATTTTCATGTTTTTATCATAAATTTCTTTTTTACAAATAAAACATGAAGCAAGTGTAAAACTTTTTATTAAGAAATTTGTAAAAAAATAAGAAACCAAAAGTAATACAAAATGATTATAAAAAAAAAGATGATAAAAAAGTAAAACAAAATATATTAACCATATAACTCATTTTGTTTAACGTTTACGGTTTTAACAAGTTCAACTCAAAAGTTATACCAAGGCTGTTTTCTTATTTAAATATAACATTATGAAAATGTTTAATCCTGTTTTTTACAACAGATCTCCCTCCTGGTATTAACCTATTTTGCAGATGAAAATTTTTTATTATTAGGATACAACTATGAAAAAGACCACTCAAGTTTTACATTTCCTACCCATAAAGGGCTCAAATTAGATGTATCGCAATTGCTTTTCACACCTTCCCAATTAGTTTTTTATCAAATAAAAAATTTTCGCGATTTGTTTATTTCTTTTCTAATTTAGTTTTTTTTAATATTCTTAAAAAATGTTTTAGCCTAAGTTTTTTATTAAGGTTTATAAAGTACGCTACGCTAAATTTTTATTTTTTTTAAAATAGAAGTATTGCTCTCTTGCGTGGAGATTTTCATCCAATTAAAGCGCTTTTGAATTATAACTACATTAAATCTCTGCGTAGAAGCCAATAATAATTTTAAGTTATATTTAGTTTGATTTACTTAATGGATCACGGCTGTTACACTGTCACTAATACTCAGTATATGAAAGAATTTTTACTGCGAATAGCAAATAATTATCTCAAGAAACATACAACTTTTTTTTATTCTGTAAAAAGTATTATTTATATAACACATAAGAACAGTATAAAAGTATTATATTAAGTAATTTAAAAAGTTTTTACTCAAATCATACCTTATTACTTTAGAAAAAAAAAGTTCAAAAAGTTTTTTTTTTAAATTTTGAACAGAATTTTTTCTCAAGTATTTTTCTCAACCTCTCAAGATATACAACTTATAATACAACTTTTTTTTTATTCTGTAAAAAGTATTATTAAAAGTATTGAGTAATTAAAAAAAGTTTTACTCGAACTGTAACTATTACTTTCGAAAAAGTAAATTCAATTTTTTTTTTTAAATTTTGAACAGCATATTTTTTTACTAAAGTTCAATATTAAATTATTGTGTAAGTTGTTACAGACTGTAACAACTTACACAATGACTTACACATTGTGTAAATTGTTACAGACTGTAACAACTTACACAATGAGGAAATGTTGTGCTTTGATGAGAACAGTACACATTTATACAGTATACATTTCGCTTGTAAACGCAAGCAACTAAACATATAAATTTTTTATATAATACGAGACAACTTGTTTATAAATTTGTATTTGAATCCGCTATTCGGCGCGTTACATTATTGAAAAGTTATAGGGAAGTGTTATAGGATTTTGAAAAATGTTGTGTGATGTTCTTAACGATTTAAGTAGCAGATTTTAACAAACATATTGCAAAGCCTTTAAAACACAATGCATAAAAAATTATGTCAAAACCTTTTGTAGTTATCACGCAAAATGCATTTGTATATAGCTCATTTTCTAGCTTTTTTATAAAAAGTTTTATTTTACTAGTAAAATATTGATTTTGATTGCTAAAATAATGAAAGTTATTTCACTTTATTATTTATTTATTAATATTGTTTAGTTATTTAACTGCACATTAAAAAAATAATGAAGAACATTAAAGAAATATATTTTAAGATATAAAAGATTAAAAATCTTAGGTTAAACCAAAACATGGACAAAACTTCTGTTCAATTTGATTTTTAGGCTGAGCGCAAGTGACAAAAATATCCTTTGAAACAGCCGTGGGATAAAAGTACATCACAGTAAATTTACTTATAAATTAAATTAAAACAACCAATTAAGTTATTCAACTAATTGATTTACTTAATATACTCTAAAACTCGCAAAAGTTAGCTGTACAAATGTTTCTATTATATATCTTATATGTTTAACACGTAATAAACTTTTACCCAAAAATTATTTTAAAAAGAAATCTAGAAGAGAATATGAAAAATGCGATACCATTTTTATAATATTTTCATTTTATTTAAAGTGATACTAAGATTAAAAATATTCTATAAATACGCGGTTTCAAAGATTTTTTTTCAAAAAGAAATCAATTTGAACAAAATTTTGCAATTGAAACATAAAATTAAAAAAAAAAAGAATTGGAAAAATTTAAAAGAATTTTAACTCTCAATAATTTTAAATTTAATTGCAGCCACAACCATTATACCCAGTGGCATATCAAGGAACATTCCTGAAAGTTAAACGTAAATTTAGCTACAGTAACAACCAGATTTAGAAAATTTTGCAAGTGAGGAAGAAAGATTTATTTAAATTGTAAACATATTGAATAGTTAATTATTTTTTATACCTTGAAAATAGTTTTAGAAATAAAAACATGGCAAACATTAATCCAGTTATTATTGCAAACATTTTACATCTCCTCAAAAAAAAAAACTTTTCCAAAAAATAATTTAAGCATATACTTAAAGAAAAATAAACTCATTTATTAAACCAAGTTTTTTTTTTCACTTTTTATTACTAAACAATTTGAACAAAAAAATTGAATAAAAACGCCAACTTAAAAACTATATGAATAAAAAAATCAATTATACGTAAATTTTTAAAATACACCAGATCAAGGAGCAATAAACTAGAGAAAATGTGTCATATAATATTTTTATGCTTTGATCTTACTTTAAAGTTTAAAGTTTTATGGCAATAATTTTTATTTATTTATTAGAATAACTCTATTTTTTTTGTTTTACTTTAAACGCATTTTATGTTATTAACGCTATAAACTGTATAAAATAGCGCCACAAAGTTGTTTTAGATTAAAACAACTTGTCTAATTCAAAAACAATATAAAGAGCCTGTGACAATATAAAATATTGTCAAAACAACTTTTCAGTATTGCTTTTTTACAATATTAATTCAATACTCTTTGAACATTTTATCTTCACCATGAACGTATTAAATAGTTTTCTATAACTAATTAAAGTGTTTAAAATATTATAATATTTGCGATTTTACCCTTAATTTTTTACTTTTACTTTTTTAAGTATCATATTAAGAAAAAACAATTACTAAAAGTAATATCTTTATAGTATTAAATATGTTACTTGCTCATTACACTATAACTGCAACTTAAACTTCAAATTATAACTTAAGCTGTAATTTATAACAGTAAGCTACACTATTTTAAACTCCTCTAAATAGAAAATTTATAAGATAATATTAAAATATGAGAGACAATATGTTAAAAAAATAACAATTATGAACTAATGTACAAAAGATACAATTTTTTACAAACACCCCCCCTCCCCCACTATTACCGCAATGCCGGGGTAAGAATAAGAGGGGGGGGGGGAGGTGAAGATTTTTTTTCAAGCAATTAGATATTTTTGCGTTAATGTGAGCCCTGCCATAATAAAATTGTTCCTTTTATATCAGAGTATTTATTGTAAGGTAAGTAGACAGCTAACGTACCTCACCTGCTCTAATTCCTGTCATTGCTAATGGTGTAACAAGTCTTAGGGATGACCAGGACTTATTTCAATACATTTTTTTTTTAACTGTTATTGCAATATTTTTATAAACTTATTTAAAGACATTTGAAACAAAAATATAATTTTCCAAAACATTCCAAGACATTTGTAAAAAATTCAAACCGCAAAATGCGGTAGTGGTGTAGTGGTAGAGCGCTCGCTTCATAAACGAGTGGTTCCGAGTTCGATTCCCACCACGTCCCTGGTAGTACCGCGCTCAACTCGTTTCTCCGCGCAGCGGCCTTGTTCGTCAAGGTTCGTGTTTCGGAGTTATAAAGTTGAGAGAGGGTTATAGCCACAAATAAGTAGCCTCCTCGTCTGTAGTGGCCTTCTCGGCCTTGAGGAGGTGAATTAAAATAAAAAAAAATAAAAAAAAAAAAAAAACCATACCAGGACTTATGAGACTTTTCAATTATTTTTTATATTGAAAACATATAGATTCTCTAATAGTTCTTCTAATCAATATTATTAATATAATAACGTATATTGCAGGGTTGGCCAACCCAAAAAAAACTACATTTATAAAACCTAAAGTTTTTTGTTTTTTGTTTTTTTTGGTTTTTTTTGTTTGTTTTTTTAAATATTCTATTTTACAACTGATAAGTCTGATTGTAACTCTTACAAATGCTTTATTATTAACAAATTGCAACTTTTATACTGTAGATATTCTTGCAAAGGGGCTATCCATAAAGTACGTACGCAGCTATGGGGGAGCGGTTTCTCAAGAGCATACGAAGGCGTACAAGAAGGGGGGAGCATACAATTGTATTAAGGACAGTGAGTACGTACGCGGTACGTATCTCTCCTAAACATGATTTTATTTTTTTTTAAACATTGAATTTAATATGCGCAACAAATCAGAATTATGTTTTTTTTCTGACTTCAGCCACAATTTTTTTTTTTAATTTCTTTATAAATAATGAGAAAAAAGAAATCGAGTTAATGCGTACATACGCGGAGGGGGAGGGGAATCTTCAAAAGCGTAGAGGCTCATACAAAGATTCTAAATCAGTGCTTTTACTGCGTATATACTTTATGGATGCCCCCAAACACTGTATTTATATACAAAATGGTATTTAAAATATAATTTTTAATTTAAACTCCTTACAGAATAATCAAAAAATTTTCAATCATTTTTTATAGCAAGTTGGTAATTTGTTATTTTTTAAACCATATAGCAAGTTAAATATTTAAAAAATTATTGAAATATGTATTAAAATATTAGGGCAAATTAGTTAAATCTTTATAAAGGAAATAAAAATCATTCTATTAACTAAATTTCAAAGTGCAAGAGATTACTAGTTATTTAATATCTTTCTTATCCTCTCAAATGCCTATATGTCCAAACAAGCATTTTAGATCTGTCATTTTACACTGGTACTAGATCTTTATTTTGTAAAGTTTGTTATAAACTGCAAAATTCAGTACAAACCCACAAGAAGAACACTATATATATAAAAATTGTTAAAATTTATACACAGTCTGGAAGTGAAAATTTTCACTTCCAGTTTGTGTTCAGTTTACTAGACTGTGGACTTTTCCTTGTGAAGTGCATACAACCTTAAAACATTAAATACATACATTATGTTACCTTGATTCAGTTGCAAAACTGAGGTTATAAAACGTCTTCCAGGAAAGAAAAAAAGAACCTGATGGTAAAGGCACAGTAATAGTTCTTAACGAATCCATTTTAGATATTCTTAAGAACTAACTAAGCTTAGGAAAAAATCCATTTGCTAAACGAATCTACATATAGTCTAAAAAACAAAAACATTATGAAGAATGTCCCAAACCTCCGAGACATGTTATGTTCATAATAAAGAGAATGATAAAAAAAAAAATGTTTGGGCTAAATTTTTTTGATTAAAACAAAAGAATAAATGAATACCAAGAAAAACTAACTTTTTTCTTTTAGTCGAAGCTTCCCTTCTCTGTTTTATTATAGGCCTAAAAGTCAGCGTAAATATACGCAGCAATATACAAACCTGATAATTTATTCAAATGTGTTTTATTCTTATGAGTTTTAGTACATGACGTCATTGACTTTTAATTGTTGACATAATCGATCCTTTGCATAAACAAAAAAAACAATGACATCATGTACTAAAACTCTTAGGAATCAAACACGCTTGAATAATTTATCAAGCCTGTAGATTGCTGTGCATATTATACTAACTTTTAGGCATACAATAAAACAGAGAAAACAAGCTTTGAATAAAATTTAAAAGTTAGTTTTTCTTGGTATTCATTCATTCTTTCGTTTTAATCAAAAAAATTCAGCCCAAACATTTTTTGTTAAATCATTCTCTTTAATTTGAACACAACATGCCTCTGAGGTTTGGGATTTCTTTAATGTCACCCCAAATCAAAAAACCATTGTTCTCACCCCATTTTAAAAATACGACTATGATCATATAAAATAAAAAAAATTAAATATTTAATGCTTGATGAATGATGAGTTGATCATGCCTAGTACCTTTCTAGGAAGCTGGATAGTATATAATTCTGTTGAAAAAAGGTAACAATTAGGCTAACATAAGAGGTTATGGGGTCAACACCCCCATAATTCTGGTGCACTTTATTGACTGTTAAGAGCAATAGAAAGGTAATAAGTGATGGACCCAAGATTGGAAAGGGAGTATAACTGTCAATAAACCAAACAACAGGATCAAAAGGTACTGAAGCATGTGTAATTATAAACCCAGGTGCCAAGGTTATTAGGCCGTCCTGTATGTTTTTTAAAATTTAAGATCTGAAAAAAAAAATTACTGTTCACAAACAATAATAAAAATTCAGAATTTTATTCAATTTAAAAAAAAAACAACCCATAAAACCCTAAAAATCCCTCATATATTGTTATTATTTTAATTTTATTATTAAATATATGTACACATAAATAACAATTACCTGGAATACTGGTAAGCAATGCAGGAAAATCATTTTCAAAGACATAGGTACTTGTATAATTTTCATTGACCTAATAAAAATATAATATTTTTAATTATAATACATTGGCTTTCAGAGTAATTAATTCAAAGTAATAAAATAATTAAAATTAAAAGAGTAATTAAAATAAATATTTAAAAAACTTTTACAAAGATCAAAAAGAAGTAAAAAATAATTAGGTTCAAAAATTAAAATTCAAGGTTATATAATTTTTTTTTTTTAATTTTTGATTAAATTGTATTTATATAATAATAATGATATAAATATGAGTATGAAACTATATGTACATTTTAAACAAATCAGAAAAATTGCGCAAGTCACTTAACCTTAATAAGCAAAAATAACAGGTTAAAAATAATTTTTTTTTCATTTTAGATAATTTTGCTGAAAATTTCCAATTCAAATCAAAATTCAAACTTACTAAAATATTCTGAAAGACATAAGGTTGCCAATGCACATTACATTTGATTAATTATATGGATGGTTTTGAGCTCAAATACTCATAATACTGTTTTTTATTTAATATGTTTTTTTTATTACTTACAAAAGTTAATATAATATAAAGATATTTTACAACATTTTATATTGCATTATCAGGCCTTGCGATAAAGCGTCGGGCGATGTGAATTTTACGTCGTCCAAGAGCGATTTTGCGTGTAGCTAGGGCTATTTGCGTCGAGCAAAAAAATTTTTGTTTGAGTATATTTAAAGATATTTTTGAGCGGAAACATAATGAAGTAATTTACGATTATTTTAACATTTAATAAAGTATTTTAAAAACCGCACGCAGTTGAAATAAAAGTTTGAATTTAAAAAAGTTAAATATGCTCATTATTTACAAGTAGAAAAAATTCAAAAATTAAAAAAAAAGTTTAAATCTTTTAAGCTAACATTTAATTAAAATTATTCAGCAATAGCAAAGTTGTCGATAAAATTGAACAAAAATACTTTCTTTTAGTTTTAGATTTTAAACTTAAATAATTATTTTACGGGGGTTTGTTAGGTTTTAAAATTATTCCATAGATTTAAAAATATTTATTAACTGTTAGACGTATTTAAAGTATTTAAGAGTAATTTCGAGGAACGAAATTAAAAATTGGTGAAGACAAATAAAAAAATAAAAAAGGATTAATATTAAAACGTATTCTACTTGATTCAATAAAAAAGTACAGTTATTAAAATTTTTGTAAAAAGTAACTCAAAAAAATTACTTAAATAATAACGATCGCTTTTATGTTAAAAGTTACCGAAACTCAACGAAGCGTGCTCAAGAACAGCTGCTGAAAAATAGAACATCAATAGTTTTTCGAATAATTTTTAAGAATAATTTTTAAGAATAATTTTTTCGCTGAAATATTTCTTTTATACCTATAAGATTTTTATTCTAACATTTTATTTTATTTTACTAGAAATAAAATTCCTTGCTAACATTAAAAATTATTTAAAACATTCGTTTAAGTTTTTTATTAATACGAGTGATTGTGCTTATCAACCGCTTTTTGAAAATAAATAAAAATAAATAAATAAATATTATATAAAATCGCTTGTAAAAATATTAGCTATTGCACAGTTTTTAATCGTACAATATTAAAATTTCCAGTTTATTACTCGCTGACTTTTTAAAAAGAAAAAATAATTATTTGAAAAACTTTAAATTACATATTTAAGAAAAAAAAAATCAAATATTAGCATATTTTATAATCTTTTTTAAATTTAAGTTATAATGTTTTTTATTCGTTTAGTATAGACAAAACGTGACAAACGTCGAGAAAATAAACAAATGTTTTTACAATTTAAAAAACGAAACATTCCAAAACATTTTTAAATAATAACATTTCTACATAAATGATTTAAAGCAGTTTTGCGGTAATTAAGTAAATTGGTGCAGTTAATGTCGATAAATATGAAAAGCAAATAATTTAATGACGTCAAAAATCACGTCGTGCTTATGCGTCGCGCAGTTCTTATTCATCGCAAGGCCTGCATTATCCAGGTGTCATTAACTATATGTAAACTCTAATAACTTATTAAATTCCATATGTCATATGGCAATAAAAATTCCATAGTTTATATAAAAATTCCATAGTTATGTAATAATAAAAATAATAAAAAATCAATAAAAATTCCATAGTTTTGGCACTTTTTAAAGAGGAAAAATCTTTAGCACTTTTTCATTTGACACATTTCAAAATTATATTCGTCAAAAACCAACTAAAATAAAAAAAACTTTATATTTTTCATAAAACTTCAAAAAACTCATTTTTTTTTTTAATATAAGAGTTTACTTTTAAACAGACAAGTGTTAAAAAAAATAGTAAATACTTCTTATATAGATAATACTTTAAATATAAATAAGTTCATTTGCCAATTATACATTTGTATTTAAATTAGTTAATAACTATATTATAAGTAATTGGGTCCAATAGCATTAGAAAATTTTTTATTTCATCTCTATATTTACTTTAAAATCTAAATGACAATATTTACAACACATCTGCTTTATGATCACTCTCATCACATTCATTCCTTATTATGTATGGAAGAAATAAACCAAGTAGCAATATTTTTTTCAATAATTTGTTGTATCTACTGATTACATTGAATACATTTGGTATTTATTACATTAGTTTATCTAAAATGAGCCAATACTGATAAACAAAGACTTTAATTTATCTTATAAAAGTGCTTGGAAATTTTTTAAATAATCAAAAATATATAGCTATGATTCAAAAACTTGCATATAAAACTGTTAAAAATATCAAAATTATATACAAACTAAAAGAAAACAATAATTATACCTTTCCTGATGGTCTCATTACTCCAGGACAAAGAGGATTGGTTATATCATGCCTCAAAACAGATGCTTCTTCACTTGTTTCTACCTGGCCATTCCAGGGTCTTTTAGTTCTATGAGGCGAAACAATAACCCATTCATTAAGTAAAGGATTTAACCTTTGATGAGTGTGTTCCTCTGCATCAAACATTTATTTATGTTAACTTATTAACTAATAATTCATGATCCTTAAAAACAAAAAATTTTAACTTCTTGTATTTTAGTACAAGAAGTTAAAATTCTATAAAACATTATGACTAAGTTATTGAGCAGATAAGATCAATAAGGATTCATTGAGATAAAAAATTTTTTTGTCCATTTAAAAATATTAAAACTTTTTTGATTTACCTCCCAAAGCAGAGAAGGCTATTAGAGTTGACGATGCTACTTTAATTGTGGTTGCAACCCTCTCTTAACTCTATAACTCTGAAACACGAACCTTAATGAACAATATATATATATATATATATATATATATATATATATATATATATATATATATATATATATATATATATATATATATATATATATATATATATATAAGTGAGTGAGGCCTGGCTAGACTTGATAAAAAATAGCAGAAGCCAAGTTTGCGTGTTTAGCGCTGCATAAAAATTAATACATTCTAAAGTATTTTTATTCATGTTATACTTTATTTATATATGCATGTATATTTATATATAAAAATTATCATCATCTATCGTTTTCATCATCATCATCATCATCATCATCATCATCATCATCATCGTCATCAAGCTTTAGCCTTCCCTTTCTATGCTATTTGTCTCTTATATAAACATCTAAAGAATTTTCTTTCCTTAACTAAAGCTCCATCTTAACTAACATAATGTACTCTCTTTAAGTTTTTTTACTTCTACCTCTACCACTTTATTCTGTAGCTTATACTTTAACTTAACTACTTTAATTTTCTCTGTCAAATGTTGTTCAATAAGCTTCATTATTCTCAGTTTATTTTTATTTACTAAATCTTATATCCATTATTTTCAGTTAAATCTCTTATCTAACAATTTATCTCAGTTAAATGTTTGATCTTATCTCAAATTTTAAGTTCTAGAGACTTTTGGAATATTGTCAACAACTGTCATTAGGGTAATTCAATGTCAAAAAACCCAGATCATGTCAGCATACATCTAAGATTTTGCTGACTTTTATACAGCTGAAAGTGCTTAGTTAAATAAGAACTCCTTAAAAATTACACCTTTAGCAGACAGTTTCACCTTTAGTTAAAAGTTTAACCTTTTGCAAATATTGACCAGGCCAATATCTGTTCCTCTTGTCCTTTATATATCCTATAACAAGGCATAGTCCCCACTTTTTTGTACCGGAATATTGCAATTGATTTTTCACTACGTTCCATACTAGTTGGAGTTCTGAAAAATTTGGCATTTCTGTAGTGCAAATAAATGTGCATGTGAAAATTGTTTTCAGGGCCCTAAAACATTAGGGGGACAAGTGCTCCACTTTTTTGTAGTGGAATTTTGTGATTTTTTTTATTACTTTCCAGACAAACTGGAGCTCTGAAACTTTCAGCATTTGTTTAGTCTTGATGAATGCGTGTGCAAATTGTTTCTACTAGAAACAATTTGCACATTTGCCTGGGCCAAGGAACCTATGGTTGTCTGCCCTAGAAATTCTAGGGCAGACAACCATAGGTTCCTTGGCCCAGGTAACTGGGACCATGCCCACTTTTTTTCTCAAAATTTTTTTTTCGTTACATTATCAATAATGTTAAGGTTACTCTAAAAAATTTGTCTTCAGAAAATTTTTCGTTTTGTACTTGTTGAACATTTTAATTAATTATTTACAAAGTGTTGTTCAACGCATTTAGCAGCCATTTTGTTTTCAATGTTTATATTACTTATCAACAATCTCAACGTTTTTACAAATAAATTGTTCACTATATTTAAAACTACAACTTTTGACTCTTGTCAGCAATTAATGGTCGTTATACAAACGTTATAATAATAAAAATAACCATCGTGAGAAGTCAATAGTTTGTCAATAATTACCAAAGCTGACGCACATTAAAATCACAACATCAACAAGAGCTCATACATAATCGTGATACTTCCGGTAAGGAAGTACTCTTCTTCCACAGCGAATGAACCGAACAGGCTGTAACTCTGTCTCACTTTTGTTGGATAGTTTTGATCAGCACGGTTGCATACTATTGTCATCTTCGCCGTCGTCCAGGGAATTTATTTAAGAACTTGGATCTTCGATTGCGACGTGTTGTAAGTTCGTTTCGTGAGGTTTAACCAGTGTCAGATTGTATTCGTCATTAATTGTTGTATCTTCTTCGTTTTTGTCTACACGACGGTGCTGTAGATGTGAAAAATGTCGTGGCAACGTATGTATTCCAGGAATTTGGACGCGTTTGTATTGTTGGCAAAAGATTTCAAAAGGTGTGCTGTGTTTTGATGGTATGTTGTTGATTAAGAAGACATGGTATTCCACATTTTGCGCTCCCATTTGTTCCTTTTACTGTCCGATGAACTCTTTCAACAATTCCATTTCCCGATGGGTTTTCAACAGCTCGATAAATAATTCTTATTTCCCACTTCGACGCCATAGCTTGCATAGTCTGAGATCTAAACAACTTAGAATTATCTAGGAGAATTTCGGAAGGAGGTCCAAGCGATGACCATATTGTTTCTAACGATTGAACAACCATTGTTGCACTTTCGTCGCTCAATGGCGTCCACAAAGTGTATCTGCTTGGGCCACAATCAATACAGGTAAGATACAGCAACGAATTAACGTGAGTAACATTGCAGATTACTCTTTCCCACACTTTGCCGGGCGGACATGTATACGACGCACCCCCTTAAGTTTTAAACACGTTTTATCGAAAATGATATTTTACTGACCTAGTAAAATTAATTAATTTAATTGATTAAAGTGTAATTACCTCAATTGATCATAAGTGATGAATAGAATTAAATGTAAATGCTTTGATTAATAAATAGGGATTAACACAACGAAATATACATTCATTAATTGACCGTGAGAATTGGGACAGTTTTGGTCACGATTATTAATATTTCATAGGGGGTGCGTCGTGTACAAGTCCGCCCTTTGCCGAAAGCAAGATTGTCTTTATCCCACGAAATCACATTATGATCAATTGAATTGCATTCATCACATTCAGCGACAACTTATTTTACTGTATCTCTGTTAACATGGATATCAGCACGTGAGCATAACTCCATACATTTATGGCATAATCTTCGATTAATTTTCCAAATATTTAAAGCCTTTGTCGAATTAGCATTTCACATTGCCCAGCACATTTTACAGGTTTGTCATTACGCGACGTTAGAATTATCTTGTTTTATCTCCACATTTTTTAGTTTTGAGATAAAACGATTTAAAAAACAAAAACTTTAGGAGATGGCGTATAAATTTTCTTTTATAACTTATGTTTTTTCCGCAACTTTTTTACTTATAACTTAGGTTTCAATTCAGTAGAAAGACGTTATTTTGAGGAACACAACACTTTTATTAATTCAGTTTTTTCAGAAAGTGGAGATAGAACAAGATAATTCTAAAGTCGCGATTAGCCAGTCTAACGTATCTAACCAACATCGTGAAACTTTTGTCAACGAAATTAATGAATGGAGGCATACTTATCAAATATGAAAAAAAAAAGCATACTTATCAAATATGACGATAAAATTATAGGAAAAGCTAAAGGATTACTACCGTTGATGTGCGTCATTCAAGATAATAAAAAGAAGATAAGACCGGTGCTTGATTATCGCGAACTTAACACGTATTTAAAAGCCTCTACAAGGGATTAAAATACAAAAATATAAAATGTCAAGGTTGAGTTAAGATTTCCTTAGATGCATCAATGTTCAAAGTATACATATGTTAAAGTGTTGTTACAGGTAGATTAATGATACAAAATATCTTGGTAATTGGAACTTATCTGTTCTAGATGGTTAGTAAAACTTGTTGAAAGGACTGTATAGGTACATAAATGTTATCATAACATCTTGCTAATTATTGTCAATTTCATTTATCATACCAATCCAAAGAAACATATTGTATTTACATAGAATAAATTTACCAAATTTCAATGTATGGATGTTAATTTGCTGATTAAGGTAATACTAGAAAAAGAAGATATGCCTGTTATATTAAAATCTTCACTTACATGTTTAAAGCTAACAGTACCTATAGATTCTGGATTGAATTGATGTTCCTAGTTTTATTCTACTTAGCTGAAAACGTCAAAGTGGTGCGCAATTCTTTCAATCTTTCTTCTTTAATTTTGAAAAAAATAATCCCCTCAAGTCAAAAATTTTATTACAACTCAATGTCCGGTCATTTATGGGCCTCTTTAGATTTGCATTTGCAGTTAATCATTTTACAGTGCCACCAACACCATCAGATGATGGCTTGTAGCAAAAAATGTCCACTCTGCATCAATGTCAAAATCATATTTATGGAAACAGATATTGTAAAGGTTTTTGTTGTTTTTAATCTGTTCAGCATTACTATCTAAAAAATAATCTTTAAAATATTAAACTGATATTCTTTTAAATAATAAACAATTTGTGTCTGAACTTTATACACAAAACCAATGTTATGCTCATTATATTTTGAAATGAAGCAAAACAAATTTCTTTAAGCTGGTTATTTTTGTTTAATAAATAGAGGGCAATGGGGGTGTAACGCGCATTAACTTTGGCACCATTAACTTTACAATTATTGCAATTAACAACATTATTTTTGGTAACTTCATTTTGAATCACAAAGTGTGTTAAATAGTTTTCTGCAAAATCACTTAAGGCAATATTTTGCAGTCTTTTGCAGACTTTTTTTTTGTTAAAAATATCTTACTCGACATTTTGTATAAGTTTGTATTATTTAATTGTCAATTATTCAATAATTGACAATTAAATAATAAAAATTTATGTAATTGAATTGTTGTTGTTGTTGTTGTCTGACAGATTAATGTTATTCTGTCGGGTTTTTATTCAAAAAGTTTTAAATTAAGCAATGTAAAATTTTGTTAAAATCATTATTTTAGATGTTTGACTGTTTTTAATCCATAAACTTGCAAATCAAAAATCTTATAAACATATGTACTTTCTTAAAACATTTTAGGAAAGATTATTGAATACAGAATGATCAAAAATTGAATAGAACAAATTAAACCAAAAATTTTTTTTAAAAAACGATTGT